CCTGTCACTGGCGTCATCACAAGATGACAACTAAATTTCACAGTATAAATCAAGAGTAGGTGCCTGACGTAAACCGCCATTGTTGCACGAAAAATCATATAAATGTACTCAGTATATTAGAGCATGACTTAAATGATAACATCATATAGTACTAACAGTACAATTTATGGTTTAATTCTCCTTCATACTGCGGAAAAGATTTAAACATGTTACACAGATTACTGATATATTGTAGATTGACAAGATTTTATTTTAATGTTCTATATTTATTTGCTGTCACTAAGGTCGAGGGAGCAAATATCAAGACATTTTACAATATATAATAACAAATCGAATTTACGTGCAAATACTGAATCAAGACATGCCTCGGAAACATCACAACAATGGCAGAAGTATGTTACTAAAGTTCCTTCACCGCGGGTTTCTGGCGAATGAAGTAAGTCTTATTTTACATTGCTTGTTTTTGCAAGAACTACATGTATTGTATACCAGGAAACTTTCGCCAAGTCAAATGTTCACCTTTAAAGTTTAACTGCGGCGTAAATGTCCGGGTACACAGTAATACATTTACATTCAATATACATAACACACAATGAAAGAAAACAACAATAGGAAACGAGAAGACATGAACAAACTGGCTAGCGTCTCTTAACACCGTCTAATCCAGGAAGGTAGATTCCCAACAGTCTTATACGAATGAGCAGACGTATATCTATATAGCAAAGTGACATATTTCTATAACTGTAACAGAAACTGATTTTCTGAAGCTAAAACCTGATCTCAACCGTCATCTTTCTGGAGCGTTTGTTTGCAAGTAATCTTTGAGTATTGTTAGTGAATTTAATCAAATCGTATCCTTTTTCTTGTTGCCTGTGCTTGTTGAATGGAGGAGTAGGCAGGCGCGATGCGCTAGAGGAATTTTTCCATCTTGTGCATTGATCTTATTCAATATTGATTGTCTGTACATCCTGCCAAAATATCAACTGTATTGCCAGGTCATTGTAAACCCTTTATTTTAAAAAAAACTATTGAAATGACAACTTGAATAAGATTTATAGGAACTGCATTATGATTTATGTTACTTACACCAGTCAAATATTCGTCGTTGAATTGCTAAATAACTTTGGTTTGTTATGTTATTTATTTTTCCATCCAAAATTTTCTTGATAACCATCAACGTAAATATGATATATATTCGAAACAAAAGCAACACTTTAACACGACGAAAGACTGTTACTGTACACATTGTGTGTATCAGACGTAGGTATGAACTAAGACTGTTACTGTACACATTGTGTGTATCAGACGTAGGTATGAACTAAGACTGTTACTGTACACATTGTGTGGATCAGACGTAGGTATGAACTAAGACTGTTATTGTACACATTGTGTGTATCAGACATAGGTATGAACTGAGACTGTTACTGTACACATTGTGTGTATCAGACGTAGGTATGAACTAAGACTGTTACTGGACACATTGTGTGTATCAGACGTAGGTATGAACTAAGACTGTTACTGGACACATTGTGTGTATCAGACGTAGGTATGAACTAAGACTGTTACTGTACACATTGTGTGTATCATACATAGGTATGAACTACAGTGCATTCCACTTAATGTATTTTGATATGATAAAGCTGTGTTCAATACGATTTACCTGCTGTTACACGACCCTCCGGGTTACAATCGGATTTTGACAGATTACAATGAAATCCCAGTCATTTACTAACGTCACCAACGTTATGTATACAATTTTGACCTTTTAAACGGAATCGGAATATTCCCGGAAAGTGTTTACTGGAAGTTGAATGTATCCACAACATTTTTAATGTTTAGCGTTATTTGTTAGATTCATTAATTGTTGAAACAGTCGAGTTCATAAAGATGGGCCGGCTGATTTTTTTTATTATTCTTTATTTATTTACAGATAATTGATTTACCCGTTGCAATGTTTGATTTTACAGAACATTTGTACATTTAAGAAACTGACTTCAAATATTACTAACAAGTGCTCTCATAGTTAACAAATACCTGAGAACATAGAAATATGAAAAACTTCACAAATTCATTCTGGCTGTTTTCTTTAGTTATAAATAATGATCTTATAAACAGTTCTTCATCTTCTTCTTCATCTTCTTCTTCTTCTTCTTCACCTTCTTCTTCTTCTTCACCCCACATGGAGTGTACTCTCAGCAGAGTGTTGATACTGCAGCTGTTCAATAATAAGCAAGAAGAAATTTAAAAAAAGGCTTTTTACCGGTTAAATATTTACGATAACAAAAGAAAACAGATATATAACAACCTCACAAATATGTTAAAACGATAGTAACTATTAATAACAGTATGAAAATGAGGAAAAATTTAGTACAATAAAATACTGATAGAAAAGTCAGGGGTACCAGAAAGCCATAATTAGTTCATCATAGTATACCCCAAATGTACAAACGTTAAAGTAAGATGTTCCGGAAGTGTTTCCGGCTCCACGTAGGTCACTACTAACTTCGCAAAACAAGGAACATGTATGTACAGGTAACACGAGGTTAAAAGGAAAAATGATAAACCTTTGAAATTTGAATATTTGTTACCAACTTGTGACTATAAATTAAAGTCACATTAATTAAGATATTAATGTGTTCAGTAGGAACATCTGTGTTTTATATGATAATAAATGCATATGTTTTAACATTTCCTGGAAAATCATTTCAATAACAATAATTGTATAGGAATATATCTTTAAAATATTTATACATAGCCATGTTCAACTATTCATTATTCACAAATATACATACTTATTTATACTACAACAAGTGTTCAATCGCATATAGCATTGTTTGCTCTTTGTATTTGTTACTGGTATATCTATTTGAGATATTTATAAAATTTACCACAACGTCAACACACGAGGAGAAAATGCCATCTCAAAGTCGATCAAAACAATGAAATCGAGGATGATAGAAACCAACAATGAACTCGGAACTATATATGTGCTGTACTCAATAATGTTCTTGATAATCAGTTATCGTATTTCAACTATTTTTCAAATAGAAATAACAACACCATTTCTTTTCGAAAACAAAGAAAATGCGACATATTGATTTTATCACCTGATTACCTTCCGAACCATTCAATTCATTTTACAGTACACTTTTTGTTCAAGATTAACAGGATTATTCATATCCTTTTATATAATAAAGGTCAAATTAACTATTCCTGTAACTTTTCATATGATTTTTTTTTTATAAAAGCGAAATAACGAAATTGCCATTACTTAGTATATCAAGCAATATCTTATTGTAATGCAATCAATTTGTTTCTATATATATTTATTTAAAAAGTGTAAAGAATTGAATGGAAATTCGATATGCAGGACAAGTATACAGTTGGGGTGATTAACAATACATGTATCAACAATCGATTGATGTGAGTGTGCACCATATATATTCGATCTGTTTAATATATTTTAACAAGACGAATTTATACAAATAGTAATTAAACACAAGATATAATGTCCCTATCCTAAACCTCAATTACTTCTTAAGATATGTCTTGTGATGGTATTTTATGTATTTTATTTTATTTCATTTATCTCCCAGAACTAGTAACTATATTACGTTGCAGCTCCCGTACTGCTAGATTTGACAGAAGTCGTTATGACCTGTACACCACTGTAGCTTCGCTGGTGTGTTAATGCCCTATCTTATACAATAGCTACATACGTACATGTAAATGAATTAATATATATATACAGAGGTAAAATGTACCTATTCAATCCATATTATGAATAACGATAATAACGCCACATTGAGTTTGTAATTTTACAGATATTTATTTAGTTGTTTTTATTATGTATGTATATTTATATATATATGTTGTAATACCGGTAATGAAGATGATTTATATAGACTTCGCTTGTTATCTAACCCATTCGTATACATATTTATAACATTATATATGTTAAAATTAAATGGAACAGGAAACTCTTACTCTGTAAAACACTTACATTAACTACATCTGAACTACATTCCTTAGGTATTTTTTTTATGTTTCCTCGTTCCCATTATTCTTTTTGAATCGACTAGGAGTTTCGGCTTCGTCATTTTTTATTTACGATGTGGAACTTTGTTTCTGTATATTTTATTTGATTAACCTAAGTCCACACCGTATATACCATTTGCTTTATATGTATGAGATGAGAAATATTATAATATTTGTCGTGTAACTGTAATTTCGTCACAAAACATCAGAGCCAACATGTGTGTTATTTGAAATATTTCTGTCTTGCTTTTGAAGCGCTAGTTCGTATCGACAGCTCGTTATCTCGTAAAGAACCTAAGAATTTATCCTGTTTATACGTTATTGATGGCACGTGTAGATCGACTAGTAAGGGCTATGTGTTAACGCAACATGTGGCTCACAAACAAGTCCTCATTATATCCAATAGGCTGTGCGTATGGCGAAGACGAAGAATCCTCAAGGTCAAAGGCCAATTTCACCGAAGATCTTCAATGAATGGAATCACGGATTCCCACACTCTGCGACTCCAGTAAAATATAGTCCGCGGTAAATCATTAGTCGATCGTGAGCTAGAGACACCCCGTGGATATCTACATCGATATCTGTAGGTATATACAGAGCCTCCGGGTAACAGATTTTACGTATCAATATATACTGTTCCGAATGAATAATGAAGTGTATTACGAGCTCATGAATATGGATGAGCCCTGTATTTATAGTATAGGAAACCACGGCTCGAGTGTAAAGATAGACAGAACCATGGACCAGTAACGGGCACATTTTGTACATAGATATTTTTTTTTATATTTTTGTACCAAGTAATCTAATTCTACCCATGGTTTCTTTAAAGGCTTAACGTGGATGTATGGCGGACTTTTACCGACAAGGTGAGTTTTTTTTTTTACCGCATGTCAACATTTATAACTGTCATTACATCAGTACTGTGTTTATAAGCAACATATGGTCGGGCCCTGATCTTGTATGCTCGTGCTTTTCATAACAGTTGAACGACAGTGCTTTCTCAATCAATAGAAATACTCGACCTTTATTTCTGTTAAACGCTATACAACTGGCATTCACTTATTTGCGAGTAGAGACGGGCCTATGCTGGTGTTTACGTCTCGTGAGCTATGGTGAGAGCCGTTTGCATTACGTATGACCTGCGTCATTCATTGCTATATTTAACACTGGCCTTTCACGTCTCGGGACGGCCACGTTTGTTGCTGTGGAGTGTACGTAGGGCCTATGAAGTGTAGGAACAGCAACAGGTATGGCATTTGTTTACTTCTTTCTCCGTGAGTGGCTGAATCCTTATCTCCATCACACAGTATCTGTAAACAACGCTAAATACCATTGTCTTGGAGGATGTATTCAATTTTTTCCATATCAATATGAATCATATTTGATATTATTTTATTTCACCAAATATCTCATTTAGTCCGTTAGACGGTTTACCTTCAGGCAGTCGATAAGATTACCTTAATATTTGTGTGTATGGTCCATCCAGGAAGTCTTGGTCAGCCGTTTACTCACCGAGTGTGGGCAGGTGAGGTCAGGTGTGTGTTGTTAGTTATGCTGTAGATATAGACAGCAGGTGAAATTGAAAGAAATTGATAGTTTATCTTGGAACACGATAAGATTGTCTCTTTCTATTGGTGAGTGGTTTGTTTTGTATTGTTTGTTTCTGTACCCAGCTTGGTGGCACGTTGTAAAAATGTGGTTTCTATGATATGTTAAATATGATAGGATCTAGTCAAATGCTTGTGATATATATACATATAATGTTGATAATGTCCGTGATGAAGTAATGTCTCATAAATGATAGTGACAATTTCTAGAATCAATCAAAGATAAGAGTATGAAGAGACAAGTAGTGTTATAGTAGGTACCGATTCATCAACATAATGTTTGACAATCACACACGGTTTTTGACATGTTAAGATTGATGAAGCCATTATAATTATAATTAACTAAAATGCGTAAAGGTATGTAAACCATAAACTTGGTACACCGTTTATGTATCGTTTCCCACTTTAATCAAGCGACGACATTTTGCCAGGTAGTTAATGACGTAGGCAGGGCTTTAGTGTTGACGATGACTAGGAGGGATCCGGTTGATGAGAATCGCACTCTTCATTAACACATTCGTGTCGGTGAATCGATACTGACCTAGTCTTATTAAACATCGTCCACCTGGATACGTGATTGACAGATGAAATCTACAGCATCGTTAACACACGCATGATGGAGTATGTGATAGGTATTGTCACCTTGTACAATGTAATTAAGTTGTCATTCTCGCTAAACGGAATATACTTTAGAGGAAATTATATAAACACAGCAAGTGGTTACATAACACTATGTAGCATGTACATGTATCAGTCTATTTCAAATGTATATATCTATATATTGTAGTTGGCGTTAGATAGTAGAAATACGACATTTTGGGGGTTTATTCCTGATACAGATTATAAAAGTATGGTTATAAAAAGGCTTTAATTGAAATGAACGTGACTGAAAGTTGTATTATACGTTGGTTACACACGTATTATTTAGGTATATAACATGTGTGCATGTGTGTACAGCTGACTGTATTGGTGTGTGTATTTACCCTGTGACACATTGTTACCTGTAGACCCCTATACAGGTAAGTACTGATAGCCTGCTTTATCATTAACAACGTGACTCTCGACCCTGTGCAGCACGAGTATCACACGTGGTCCTCATGTAAGGGTGTCAGTCTACACAGGGTAAAAACAGTGTAATCAAGTAAAGGTTAATACATATTGTCAATTTGTATTGGTCAGAACGATTTATTGCCCTGAACAGGTCAGGTGTCATTCTATATATAGAAACCAGACCAAAACAAACCCGACCCAACTATGTTGAACGAATTCTACGTAATATGTAGATTACGTATATTATTACTTCAATGAAATACATAACGGGTATTCAACCAGAGTAAGTTAAATCTACAACGTAAACCTTGCATGGTTGAAGGTTTTAAATTCCCTAAAACCTAAGTACTAGCGGGTTTAAACGACTGTTTACTATAGGTAGTACGGTATAATTACACATAATGCATAGAAGCTATATATCACTCCATTTTTTCTCTCTCCCTATTTTAGGTGTCTTATTTGGCTTTCATTTCAGAAGAAAACATAGGAAAGAAAATATTTTTCAGTAAACACAATATAATGTATTGATATGAGGTAGAACACACTAAGACAAATTTACATTCGTTAAACGTTGGGTGGAATCCAGTTTACCAACAAGAAAACAGGTGTCTGTCTCAGTACCATACATTGTCAGTTACAGGTAAATGATGACTTACTCTTTTTATTGTCTGTATTCTATACACCTGTGAGTGATATTCTCCAGATCAGAAACTTTCAGTATAATCTCTTGTAAATTGCTTTCTCTAGATTAGAAGCTGCCAGCACCCATTTTTGTAAGTAACTTTCTCGCATCACATGCTGATAATATTGTGTTGGTATATTACCGTGTAAGGCTGTTGGTTGACTAACTTTCTGAGGACCATATACATTTGTAAGCTTCATGTAAGTAAAAGAAGTGAGAACACATAAAAAATTCAAACCACGAAAATCCGTGATCACATAATTCAGGTCGATGAATATCTGAAACGGCGAAGGAACACTTTCACGTATGTATGGAACTTCTGATGAGCTTTGTATTGTGTTGCTAGTAGATCATTGTGCATCTCGTCAGGTCCCTTAACTCGGGAGTACTGTCTTTTAATCGTCACCTTATCTTTATATTCACAGATAGTTTCTTATAGTAGATCCAACATATAACAGAATTCATTTGACTACAAAATTATAAGTATCATTACACACTTTTACCAACAGATATTTTCAAACATAAAACTATTTATACAATTAATCCGTAGTACAGTGATCACAATCATAGTAATATATTGTTCTATATTCCCATGAAAACATCAGTTCAAGTGGGTATTTTTAGTATTGCAGTTCAATAGTGTTTACAAAACGTGACATTTATTGACATACAGTTCTACTTTTACCCTATTTTTTGGACTTTTTGGAAAGTTCAAAATATAACTTGAATTTCAATTCCCATGATGTGTATGACATTGTTGTGCATGCATTGTTGTGTGGGTTATATATGTACAGTACGGTCGTTAGATATGCATTGTGTGTGCTCTAGCCTCTTATAAACAAGAGTACAAGGTCAGATATAGGTCAGGCAACATGTAAACACTAACTATCGGGATGTGAATAGATCTGCCCCGTCCGTTGAACCTTCGATACATGTACATGTCGACAGCACAAACAACCGAGTCTCAACCCCCTCCATCTGTAATGTCGAAAGGAGCAAGGTTCGGTGCCTTCGTTTTTGGATATCTCTGGACTTGCCAAAGCCAACATGGGCCACTAATACTTATCGACTGATTTGACCCGGGGAAATTGATTACCTTTGACTTGCTGTTGCATTGAGTCACTAGTAGAGGTCTGAGATCATCGTTGATGCTTTCGAAATCAATCTTGGATACACTGTTGCGATTGTACATTTCTTTTCGAACCGTTGGCCTTTCGAGCAAGTGGTTGGTGACAATCATAATTTGATTATGGCCGATCCATTACACTGAAGTTGATGGTCAACATGTGCTTTTATCGCGGAGGACACGTCGCTTATAAAGACACACTGCTGATATGTTTATAATCAAATAATATGCCAAAAATGATAGGCCAATGTAATGATACTTCTTTATTATTGATGTTTATCATTAGATGATCTTGCTGTCAGTTGGGTGTTTCATTCAAGGTTTTTGACGTTCGTGGGGTGTTTCGTTTAAGGTTTTTGATGGTTGTTGGGTGTTTCCTGTAAGAGTTTTTATCTCATTAGGGTGTTGCGTAAAAAAAGATGTTTGTGAGGTGTTTAGTTAGAGTTTTTTCATATTTGGTGGGTGTTTCGTTAAAGGTTTTTGACGTTTGTGGGGTGTCTCGTTAAAGACTTTTCATAGTTGTGGGGTGTTTCATTAAAGTTTTTTTGATGTTTGTGGGGATGGTTCGTTAAAGGTTGAACGTTTTTTTATGTTTGTTAGGTGTTTTGTTAATTGTTTTTGATATTTGTGAGGCGTTAGTTAAAGGTTTTTTTTATGTTTAGGGGTTTTTGTTAAAAGTTTTTAATATTTTGGGGGTTTCGTTAAAGGTTTTTGATGTTTTTGGGGCTTTCTTTAAAGATTTTGGATGTGTGGGGTGGCCGTTTAAGTGTTTTGTTGTTAATGGTAACCATCGCTAAAACACTTTTGTTGTATAAGTAGTTGGTATGCAGTTTAAAAGGTCTTTGTTGTGAATGAGGTGTTTCAATATAGGTTTTTGTTGTCAGTGGTATGTATGTTTAAGGTGTATGGGTTGTCATTGATAAAAGAATTAAACATAATGAACATTTAATGTTTTTTATATTTTCCTCGTTGACATTCTGGGATTATAGTAGTGCCACACCCACCCTCTTCTCTTAGTGAAACCATGCGTAAAATGTTAGTAATTGTGATAGAAAAGTTGCCTTTCCATTGAATGCATGTGGAGAACTAAGAGATAGACACGTTTACTAGCTGTTCCTGAATCACTCACGGGCCCAGAAACAACTGTAGCCTCTACCCCCGAGTATTTTCAAAAACTGTTCACTTTCACAAATAAAGAGGGTGTAAACAGTCGGCTCCTTACATGTGTACCAAATGACTCTCCGTTTTTGTGTGATTAGCACTTCCAGTTCCCGTAGTAAAGGTTAATCACATTTGTGATTACCATACCTGAGTTTTCCACACCTGTGGTGTTGCACACTTTTTCGATCTGTGGGAAGACATTTCTCGCCTGGGGTATAACACTGAGCATATATGTACTGGTTGCTCCTCTAGTACGCGACGTTGTGGTTTTTAGTGAATAGGACGGGCTGGAATCGGGATTTTGGTTGAAGTAGACAGTTTGTTGCCGCACATAGTTTTGTGTTACATGTCAGAACCATTCTACACACAGGCGACATTTCAAATATTTTGTTTCCTCATATAACACGTCCATGCTGCCACAGACAAAGTGGTGTAGAGGTTGCAGCTCTTGATGCATGTGCTGCATGTGTAGGCTGTACCTAACGATGGTTCCATGGTGCAGCCTGGTACATCTGTACGGGGGTTGAAACGTAAATATAAAAGTTATTTGGAAACGTTCACTGCTCAGTAATTTTCCCATGTGATGTACATACATCCGTGTGTTGGTATTTGGTGATTGCC